AAAAAATAAATTGAAGACAAAGTTAAAAAAACAATATAAAAGTTTGTTATTAAAGAAAAATCATTCTATAATAGACTTTAAGTAGTTAAACAAACAGTTTACTTTTGCTTAAAGTAATGCAACAAGTTGCATTTAGATGCCATTAGAATGATCCAAATAATGCTAGGCTTAGTTGTTAGATACATTTATGTAATTGCAAAATAATTTCAAGAAACTTAATAAAGCACTAGTGTGACTGCTTAAGAAAAAAAAATTCAAATATATATTAAAGTTAAAGTAAAAACTTATATATATTAAAGTAATAATTAATTTTATTTGAAAATTTAAATCTAATTATCGCAAGTAGACCTTTTAGATAATAATATTTATAAATATTTACCATTTAATAATATTTATATTTAGTATTTAAAATAACCTATTAGATTTATATTTATTACTATGCTAATAAAAAATCAGGATTGATTTTAGGCAAAACTTAACTTCTAAAGATAAATTATACAAGTCTAAAATTATCTACTAAGTTAAACTTAATTATAGAATACATTAAAACTTTAAAGAAGTAGGCTTTAAATTAAGATATAGAAAGACTTGGTCAAGGTTTAAGGTTCTTGGATATTACTATAGCTTATTTCTAAGTATTTTAGGTTACTAGGTTGGCTCTAAAGTTTTAGTATTCAATTTAATTTTTATTTTCTTTAGTACGGGTTACAAAATCTAAATCTCAAGAACATTATTTTTGACAATTTTAAATGATCAATATATCAATAATAAATATAATAATGAAAATTACAAACTCAATCAATTTAAAATTTATATATATAAGAGATCGACTTATTAATAAAATCATTTTCTCTAAAGTTATTTGACTATAGTATCAGTCTATAAAAGTCACAGAAATAAGTAATATCAATAATGAGACAAATTTTGAATAGATCAAGCAAAACTACTTACCTCTACTAGTATTGTCTGAAGCTTTTGGAACTCAATTGAGTTAATTTTTATTCAGTCATTTTTATACATTATTTTTACATATATAAATATACATTTTAGAAGATTTATGGAACATTCATGATGTAGTATATATTTACGCAGACTTTCACAGTGGAAATATTTTGCAACATAAAGGTATTAGTCAAGATATACAGTCTTATATCTCAGACCTAGAACTGTCTAAAAAGTATAATGAAAACGATTCAAAAGGTGGTATTTATGGTGTTATTGCCTTATGTCGCTCCTGAGGTTCTATCAGGTACAAATTTTACAAAAAAGCCGATATTTATGGTTTCGGAGTCATCATGTCAGAGATGTCAATTGGACAGAGACCTTTTGATAGTTATGAATTTGATGATGAACTTGCAGTAAGGATTTGCATTAGACTACGCCCAGAATTTGCCAGATTATTATATTGAATTTGCTAAACGATGCATGAATGCTGTTCCAACAAAACTGTCTAATGTTCATAATGTTTATCTTTAACTTAAAGAATGGAATGAAAGCATATAAAGCTTAGATTATGCAAATAAAATTAAAAGGCAATTCTTAGAAACAGGTTAAATAGTACACTAGCAAAGCTATCAATACACAAAGAATATCAAATGCAATTAAAAGTAATTTTATAAATTTCATTATTTATTTGATAAAGTCTAATGATGTTATATTAACTGCTTTACCAATTTGATCTATTGATTTTGTTAAAAATTTCATTGGTAAGTAATATTGGATTTACAACAATTATAAGGTATAAATTTTATTTGTTAAGATATAATTTTAAGCGTAACGTTAATTAATTTTTACCTAAGCCTGTATGCAGATCAGTTAGCAAAAAGACTACTTAATATTATAATTATTGAAAAAGGTAGAGATATATAATTACTATGAGTGTAATAACAAATGTTTTAAATAAAAATTTTTAATATCTCTAAATTCTGATATACAAATTTAAATACACCTATAAGCAAAATTCAAACTATAGAACTAATAGATGATGTAATGGAATAACAACATTATTACTAGGAAAACATTGTTAAATAAAATTTTATTAGTGCAGTTAAACTAAAGATAATAACTGATAAATTAGATCATCCAATTCAAAAAAATAGTTACAGGTATCATATGTAAAAATAGAATTATTTTAGATTTAGGATTTACTTAGGTTGAAACGAAATTTCAAATATAACCCAAGTTGATATGAAATCTAAAAGCAACTTAAGTAGATTCTACTAAATTTTCTGATACTGTAATAATGTGCAATTGATTGATGTAAGTTAGTGCATATTACATCCTATAATGGTCAAAATACTTAAATACAACCTTTTTATTTTTTTGAATCTTTATAGCTCTTTCTATCCAATGATCGATTTCCTTTTAATTTCATAATAATTTAAGGAATTGCTTTCCAAATACTTTAGAGCAAGACGACGTAAAATCTTAATTCTATGTGAAGATTTTAAAAGTCGTCGTTGAGAGGAAAATACATTTACCATTTATGGTCTTGAAGTATAAAAAAAACTCTAATCCAGCTTACTAAACCTGGCTCATGCTTACTTGTGTTCATTTGACCCAGATTCTTTAACGTTTTTAAGTAGTATATTTTTTTTTTTAAAAAAATGTAACCCCGTTTATAATACTACAGAAGACTCCTCACAAACGAAGAATTAAGTATGTTATGTATTTCCGTGATTCGCTTTACTCACTTAGAGATGATTGTTAAGTTAAGAAAATAGTAATATACAATAAATATAATGTTTAAGTTCTTAATTAACTTACAAAAAATAAGTTAACTAGTTTTAAAAAAAGCTTGAAAGTAATAACTTCATAGAAAATATATATTAAACCAGATTACAAATACACGAAGCTTTACTTAGATATGAAGAAATCATTTGATAAGTAGTTTTATATCTCGAGATCTTGAAATTACTAAGTTCAAAGTTGAATGTAATAAAAAATCTATATGTTTATTGTTTCATTTTATTTTTTATTTTTTAAAAAAATAAATAGGTTCCGCTTTATTCATTCATAGGCATGTTATGTGTTACAGAGGATTATAACTTTATCGATTATAATTTGAAGAGACTTTATTATTAATTAGCGTATATAAAATCATATAGAGAATTTCTATTTGTACACGGGGTGTATGTACACAAGCAATATAAAACCAATATCTCAAAAGTTTGATTATGAAACCACCTTTTGGTTTTAACAAAAAAAATTCCTTGCACAATTTGGTATAAGCTATATTTTGCTTAATCACATCTTACCCTAACCGATTTATTTGATTCAATAAACACTACATAAAACAAATGCATGTTGACGAGGGTCAACAGATCAAAAAGACAGGGAGCATTTGGAAAGGGTCCCACATCACGTGTCGCAACCCCTACTCCGCTGACAACCGATACGAGACGCAATCAGCGCCAGATCACTAGAACTTGCTACGTAATCCCAAGCCACCGAAAAGCTTATATAAAGGGCGAGAGAAAAAGAGCCTATTTACGCACTCTTTCTTCATCGAACATCCAATTCATATAGTTAGCATTTCTCGACCTATCCCTTCCCGCCACATTGTAGTCTCTGATTCTGCCATTTTCCTATTTAACAGCCGGCCTGCTTCGAACAGGCGGGAAACCACCGGCTGATTCTGCTTCTCGCTCGCTCTACTGTTACGATGATACCTAGCGCAATCTCATTTGCTAATCTTCTGGGAGCATATCATCGTTTCAGTTCAAATTACTTAAAATAACTATTTACTTAAAATTACAAATTCAATGTATTCTGCGGACTTAAAGTCCTTTAATTGAATTTATTTCCTGCACCTTTGGCTGTCCGGAATTCTTCCAATCACATGACCAAAGCGCACCTATGCTTTTCGTAAATTTTCAATCAAATATTATTTATCGTTTATATAACAAATCAAAATTCCAAATTTTTATCAGTTTGTGTCATGACCATTTTTTGGGAGAGTAATTAATTTGTCTATTATCGAATGGATAACTATAGGATTTTATCACAAATGCATGTAATAAAAAGCAAAAAAAGATAATTATATAATTACGACCCAAGACTAAAGAGAGACCTTTTTTTTGGACCAAAAGAGTTCTGCCTTTATTAGCGATCATAACCCTTTATATAAATTTTCAATCAGACTCAAATTAACTTACAAAACGTAGTCCTAATTTGTAATGTTAATACAGTAGTATTGATTTGTTTTTTCGTAACATCTGTAAAGGCCGAATCTTATTCGGATTTGATTTTTACCTGGAATTTTATCAGGATTCTATGGAATTTGTATGGTTTGTTTCAAAAAATGAGCATTTTCCGAAACGATAATCTTGATATGTTTTTCGAAAAATTTTTAAAATGCGACAAAGTAATACCGATACGTATTATTCGAATTAAAATTTTAGTACCGATTAGCTCGGGTATGTTAATTGTCCTAGTCCTAACATCATCCGAATTTCAGCATCGTACACAATAAATAATAATTTAAACTATCGGCAAAGTTATAGATTGCCCATAAGAAATATTTAAATATTTAGATTAATAAATGCGTTTTCTTCGTATAGATTAAATTTAGTGCAAACAAAATGAAGCTATCCTTTTTTAAAAAAACTTAAAGTGTTCTTTTATACTCACTAACATAAATTAACATAAATTAAATAGCAAACACTTCAGTATAAATAGCTTATTTTAATTAACATTTTAACATTTACATTTAGAAAAATTCAATAATCAATTCGGAGCAATGTGACACACTAATTTATCTAAACTTTTTTTACATATTTACAAAGTTTTAGCTCCTGATTTTGTGCGATAACGTTCCACGGCTATCTTATTGTTACAATCTAATCCATAAAATATAATCGTTAATAATAAAATTTTATAAAAAAAAAAAAAAAAGTGCAAAGTTCGTTGAACAAATTTATAATGAGAGATAAAATATTTCTACCAAAATAGATAAATAGATTGCAATGTACTGAAAATAATACGTTACCAAGATATGATTATTTTAACATGCATTTGACTATAAGTGGTGCAATAACTATAGCAACATCCTTAACTACATCCATAACTTCAGTTTTCTTTTGCATCTTTTTGTTGAGTTGATTTTGCAAATTATCAATTTTTTTTTGATGATCCTCTCTGATTTGATTAAGCATTCGATTATAATCATCTACTAGTTTGATCATTCGATTATTTTCATCTACTAATCGATTGATTATTTGATTATTCTGCCATCTCTGTTCATTAATTATTTGAATATTTTGTTCTTCCTGATTGCGAAGGCAATCTTCTATGGTCTTTACTTTTTCTTCAAATTGAACTTGAATTGTTTCATTTTCAATACTAGCATTGGTGATTTCTGTTAATATCTCGCCCTCTTCTTGTAAAATTTCATAATATTTTCGTTCAGTATGTTGTCGTTCTAATATTTCACTTGCTCGATCATCACGCACAGCATCATACTTATTCAAAATTTTAATCGCATCCTCATATTGATTAGCTTTAAAATCATTTAACACCTAAAATATAATAAAAATTATATTAAATAAATTTTATAACAATGTTAATAACAATTAAAATAATATATATACTTACTTGTGCAGCTTCCTGCCCTCGAATTGCTATAGTTCCATAAGTTTGCTCAAATAACTCGATTGCATCTTCAAAATTTTCCGTATCCTGCATAAACAGAGTTAAATCAAATCCAAAATTTTAAATAAATAAATAAATTATTAATTACAAAAAGGCTTTCGGTTTCCAATCCATGTGCGACATTCTCTTTCCAGAGTTTATCAGCCCAATTTTCATGATGCTCTCTTAAGGCAATAGAATTTTCTTTATAAAATTTATCCTTAGAATCGATAATCTTATCATAAAATGTTTTTTGAAAAGATTGGATTTGATCCGCGCTTCCAACGATTTGTTGAATAAAATGTTTATGCGCAAATTCAAACGCGACAGCATGAACATCCTCAAACTTATCCCAATGAATTGGAAACCCGATAATACTCATTTGGTTCATCATTTCATCATAAATTTCAAGACAAGTTTCGTATGCCTTGTGAGCAGCATAATTAATCGTAGCTTTGTACGCACTTGGAATCGATAACATCGTATTTGTCGGGTCATTTATTTGTGCAACACATTTTTCAAGAAATTCTGCAAAATTTACTCCCGTCATCGGTGAAGCATTAAGATATTTTGGAGGCAATTCTTCAAAAATATTTGTTACAGCTTCTTCAACTTTAGTAACAAAAATAGGATCTAGTTGTTCGGTCTTAATTGTGCTCATATTTCTCATTGTTTCCTGTCGAATTCCTGGAGGCTATTTTAAGGTTACTTAATGAAGTTTGAAAAAATATTTATAATATGAATATACTTACTGGAATTGCGTACACTTGGAACTTTTTAAAAAACGCGGTAATTTCCTTCGCGGCTTATTACGAAATAAATATATATAACTAATTAGATTAGTTATAATATAACACTTGATAAAATGTTTAAATTTACCATCTTCATTAACTTTTGATAATCTGTCAAGAAAATACTCCACAAAGTCAGGCGGACTATCTAGTTGAAAATCCCTAAGGAGAACCACCAGGTTTGGCAAAAAGTTATACTCATTTGGAGGTTGGATTAAAGATGCGATTTTAGTCATTAAGAACAACTTTTCAATATCATCTCTTCCAATAATTCCATTAATATTGTAAATAAGAGTTGAAGATATTGCCAGACTTAAAACAAAAAGCTTGTTGGCCCATGGAACTTCCTGATTAGGATCATTAATACCCTCACAGTCAATAATTACCACGCCTACACAATATAATTAATTATTAATATTAACATATAGATTTCTATTAATATCCATTTCTAAACGTCACATGCCTATTTGTCACATTGACTCAAACGAATTAAGTACGTACGTACTTATGTACAGTACGTAGGGAGCTTACATAAGACGATACAATGCGACAGTCAACAACTTCCAACGTAGAGTATTTCTATATTTACAATAAACTTACGTTTGCCATCATGGTAGAATGGTGTATTCCAGATATCGATACCTTTGGTGCATCCATTCACCGATGAACCAAGTTCAAATCCATCGTGTCGGCCGAGAAGAGTATTTGCAAAATATGACTTTCCTCTTCGATAAGAGCCAACTTCATATGAAGTATTTAAATTAGTATTATTGTTATAATAAAATTAATTGTAATATTATAACCTACCAACAGTTATAACGGCAATAGGTTCTTCAATTTCTTTCAAAATTCTCAATGCTTGTTCATCTAATAGAATTGCATCTCCATCATCTAAACTCATACAATTCAAAAGATGAGCAGGATTTCCTTGACGAAATGGAATCGTTTCAGAAAATGGATTTGCTGACATTTTTATTTTGAGTTATAAAAAAAAAAAGAAAAAAACGGATGAAATTCATGCTATTTTTCAATCTTAATTTATAGTTTCCGTTAATGCTAATGCAATATGTTGATTTTGCTATAAATGTAAACAATAACTCTAAAAGAAGAGCTCCAAATTACACTTGTTTGGCATTTTTATTCAAGTCTAAAATGTATGAAAGCACGTAACTATACGTAAGATTGGATGTTAAACACTTTTACTTAATGAATTAATCAAGTTGTCATATTAAAATTTTGAGTCATTGATATTTCTTTTTCATGTCACATATTTAAAGTTTGTCCATTGATAACACGGTTCGCATAATTCTACTACTTTTGTTGTGGATCCACGGAATTTAAAATCCGGCTGATTTAAAGACTCCAGATTAGCTATGAAAATCTGCATAATTATGTTTTGGGATTAGCTAACTTAATCTGTTGGCCGAACAATCATCCGAACTTTATAATTGTTGAGCTTCAACTGAAGTTCGCTTTATTGTCAAAGCGAAGAGGTAGTTCATTTGTATACTTCACATACTAATATGTCGATGCTGTATATTAATATTCTCTAAGTATTATGTTTACCATGTTCATTATTAGTGCCCTAGTACAGGGTAATGACAATAAATTTTATTTACCAAAGTTTTAATACATATAACATGAAGCATCGTCATATAAACCATTATTTTGAGACTCGCATTAAAAATTTTATGAAACCAACATCAAAGGTTAAATTACGGATACAAAACATTTCAGGTGCTTATGTGCACAATAATGACGCAAAATTAGCGTTAGAGTTTAACGTTAAGGTTAGAGGGCTTATATGCATAACAATGGCCGGTTTTCTCACGTGAATGTTGTGCCCGTAACTTTCGAATTATATTTATTGTTATTGTACTTGCATCAAAAAGGTAACATGAAAACGTGAATTCCACCCTTTTTGTATCCAGATTTGACAATTCAGGTTATTTTTTTTTTTTTGCAAATCTCTATTCGCATAACTTTATCATATACTTATGCAAATGGTTTTTATTTATTGCAATAGTCGTTCACTATAACACATAAACTACGTACAAACTATGCTCCTTGCACAATCAATATGCAACTTATATCTGAGCCTACGATAAAACTATTAAAATAGTAAATCATAGTAGAGGTTGGAACAAGTTTTAATAATTCGGGTTTATCACGTGAATTTTGTGATATTTTAAAAGTTATCCAATTAAATTTTAATAAATTATAAAATATCACAAAATTCATACGTATGATAAACCTGAATTACTAAAACCGGTTCCAACCTCTAAATCGTGCTGCAAAAGGTAGAAATGAATTAGCACTATCACTAACGCTAATAAAATCATCCCAATCTGTAAATATAATTATTCCAATATTATTAAGAGTATTTCCAATTTATTCTAAAGTATTTATTTTCAATAACCTCTCGTCAGATCAAATTAATTCATAATAAATTACCGAAACTTTCTAGTAAATAACGATAATGATAAACATACGTATTGTTTATTTATCTAATAATCTGGTAATTACAGTAATATTCCTGACTGTGGCTGCAGGTATTTAGGGGTTTGAAAATTACTCAATTTTCATTGGTTTTTGTTTGCAGGACATTGCATAAGTTTGCATTCAGAATTGCTTAAAAATAGGGTCAGTTTTTGTTTTGATTTTTTTTTTCCAACAATGATGAATCGAACTAATTGGTTTATCGTGATACCCCTCGAAATTTTTGATATGATCTTGAAAGATCATTTTGTTACAGTGTTTTTCAATCATAAAAGTATCTTGGACTTCGATCCATATAAAGTTTTTCTAAATATAACTTCAATCGATACTCTTTTTCGTGAAAGATTTTTATTCTTTCTTCAAAAAGCCTTTGAAGCATCATCATGGAAAAAGGAAGGATATTTGGTGATCTTGAATGATGATGGTCAAGAAGAGGAAGTTGATATGAAATTTTGGACTGTGTTTTTACGTTGGATAAAATATCAAGATAACTATGTTAAATTTGCGGATATTGGTCCTAACAAATACTTCACGAGGGATATCCATGTTTTTTTTCTGGAAGTGAAAAGTCGAATGTACACGAATATTAGAGATATAATGCACATGATAAAGAAATGTAAATTGTCAGGTGGAAATGAACTTTGCAATTTAAGAGGAGGTTGGTACGAAAATATTAGAGATACCATGTACAGGATGATTAAAAGAATGTCTACAGGTACAATAGGTGGAATGGATGATTGTTGCAATTTAAGAGGGGGTTGTTTTTATGAATTTAAAATGTGTCTTTGGAGTCTTGAAGGTATTTATGAGGATGAAAATGAAACATGTGCATATTTTAAAGAACTTCATAGGTTATTAGATGAAATGAATTCAAGTGAACAGGTCATTAAGTTGATCGATGAGACTTTAAACTCTTACAGTTATTATAGATTTAATGTTGAGAGGAAGGAGACAAAAAAAATAATTTCAGATTAAATTTCTTTCATAGTTCTTGTTAATGAAACAATTGCTGAATATTAAATAAAATTTGATTTTGCTTTTCATAAATTTAAATTTTTATTATTTATTCGGAATTTTAAGGTTACATCATTTTTTGGTTCATGGCGTTATAGTTATAATTGTGATTTTTAATAATTAGCAATCCTTGTTTTGCTAACATTTAGTATAAGGCGTTTGAAATTAAATTTTCATTCAATGTTATTCCCTCTTTCGTTTTCAAAACAAATGCAAATCGATTAATATATTGGTTTGAATCGATTGTATAATACAATTGTGGTCGTCAGAATGTTTTGATGCAATGTATATTTATTTATTTTCATGCTGGTTAATTTTTCTCTTCCCTTTTGTACAATTTTTAAAAAATAACGTTAAACATGGGTTTAATTTCAAATGAACTAAATATTATTGATGATAAATGTTATTTGAAAAGTAACTTATGAACAAATAAATATTTTACATTTGAGTTTAAATACCTAATGTTTAAAATCAAGACCGAGATATGATGTTTTATATAAAGATTAGAATTCTTTGTGTTGTTCGATGGTGTAATTAAAAAATGAAATGAAATCCGGATATTTTTATTACAATAAAAATCATGAGGTTTCAATTGGATATTTCTATATTCTAAAAATTTTTAACAGTAACCTCAAGTTTGTGAAATCCAACTTTATTAAATTCGCGCTTAACACTCAGATTAACTAATACTAGAGTTTGGGGCACAGAAGACAATTAGGTATGCCCATATGGGCATGTCTTGAGCTTAAGAAGCCTGGCATGGCACTAATCGGCATGCCACTGATGGCATTCCAGAAAGTCAAAATAGTTAATAGAGAAAAAACTTAGTACAAAGTGGCATAGGCATGCCCTTTGGCATGCATGCCATAGGAATGCAAAATAAATTTGTGTGTCAGGTTCCCTACTTGAGCTGAGACAATACTCTTCATCCTCATGGTATGTGATTTTTTGCATCTATATATTAACATACCTATCTAACTTTAGATAGGTACAAAATGACATAACTGGTAGGTGTCCGTAGATTTTTTTCATGGGCAGTGTTGTACATGAACAGTTAGGACATAAGTTAGGATATTTTGAGACAATTTTATAAATTCAAATTACTCAAAATTTTATTGAAATAATCTATTTTAATTTCTTTAAAAAATGGTCAGCACCTAAAAAAAAAATATAGAATTACATATTATTATTCAAATTAATTTATTCATTATTGAAACCTGGGACATAGTTAAAAAATGTACAACACTGCTCATTGGCTTTCTCTTTTTAAATCATGTGATTAAAATATGGGTTAGGTGCTAAAAAAAGAAATCAAATTGACAATTTTTTCAAATCTTTTTTTAAGTTTAATTAATTTAAAATTAGCTTGGAAATATTTTTTATTTAAGGAATAAATACTGTTATTTTGATAAAATTTTGCAGTATAATTCTTTAAAGTTTGTATTTCCTTATATGTTATTATAGAATTTATAATATAAAAAAATTCAATTTTTACAAAACTTTTTTTTTGTTAATTTGGTCCTTCATAACTTTCTAAAAAGCGGGTATCCTGCAGATAAAAATACAGAATCTTGTGTAATAAAACCATAAAAAATTCAATGACCAATCATATTTCAAGATTAGGTATTACACAGAAGAAATATAAAAAATAAAAACTAATCAAAAAAATCATTAATAACTCAATATTTTATCTATGAATATACTTTTTGCACATTAATTAAATAACTTTCTTGCTAAATTTTGGTATTGTGAAAACTCTTTAACCTAAATTAATTGTAAAATTAAACACTAATATAGTATCAAAATTTTTTTGAAGAAATTTTTAAGGTTGATAACATTAGGATGTCAAAATATTTATATATAATATTAGAGGCTAATTGGTAAAGAATGCAACAAATTGTCACCTCAGTTCATCAATACCACTTGAAAGATGGTTACAATTTAATACAGATTAAGGTTATACTTGCTATCAAACTTGAACAAATCCCAAACTTCTAAAAAATAATTGCTAATTATAAAAATTAAATCAAAAAACAATTTTAAAATTTTATAAATATATTTTTTATAGCTATAAGAATATATTTAATTTATTTAAATATTGATTATTAATAAAATTTTAGAATTATTTATTTGATTTAATTTTATATAATTAGCAATTGTCTAGATTTGGTTAGCATATATAGTTAAGGTGTCATTATCAAATAAGGACAGAGACTTTAAAGAGCATTAATTGTTTAGTGAATTAAAGAATCTTTATAAATAAGATTATTATATAAAAGGCATATTTTCTTTATTTTACAAAAAAAAAATTCTATTTCTATTTGTAACAAAATTACAACAAGAACAAAGACAAGACTAAAATTTTTATCTTTTACTAATATTGAATTTTAGTCATGTTTTATCTTATTTATACTAATTTTAATCATTTTATATACAGTTTTTTGTTATTTTAGTATTTTTTATAATTAAAATAGAATAAAAGAGAAATGTCTTAGTGTTAATTTTTTTGTAATAAAATTTTAATATTATTATTACAATTTACTTTTTTTTTACTATTCTATCTTTATTCAAATAAGGGTTGTTTAAAGCTATATACTTTCATAATTTTTTATATAAATCAACCAATAAAAATTATAAAATTTTGTTTACATAGATTATTGCAAAGTTAGCAAAAAATAAAAAAATACAAAAAATAAAAAATAGCATTCTAAGCCTGTCTTGAAGCACTAATAAAAATATTGAAAAGACAATTTTATTTATATTCTTTTTCTTATACTAATACTAATCTAACTTTAATATTAGCTTTAATTTTAATAAAATATCAAAATTATATAACTTTAGCTATTCTTAAATAAAACAAAATAAGTTAATATTTAATTACAGATATTATTGTATAAATGAGTAAATTATAATCAATTTTTATCATATTTGATTTGGTGGCAAGTTTCTATATTAAGGTTTGGTATATAATTTTTCTTTGATTATATAGTCTTAATAAGAGTCCTAATTTATATATTTAAGGTAGATAATTATTTGTATTACTAATTTGGTAGTAATGTTATTATAACAATTATTTTTTAAGTTAGTTAGTATTATAGTTTGTCTATAACAATAAATAAAGTTTTAGTTAGCTTATTTTTTTGTTTTTTCTACAAATTATTTCTTTTTATAATAATTAGTTTGCTTATTTTAATCTTTTTTGTATATTATTTTTTTTATAATAATTAGTTGTGTATTTTAATTCTTTTTTTAGATTCTTTTATTTTTAATAATTTTTTATAAAATCTTACTTATTAGTAAATATTTTAAGATCTTATAATTCTAGAATAATTATAAAAAATACTTATTAAAAAAATGGTTAAAATGAACTTTATAGGTTCTTTTAAATATTTTTTTAGATAAAAAATATTTAGTATATATATTGGTTTTAAAAAATAAAATAAAAATATTATTTCTTATTTTAAAAGAATATTAATTTATTTTAATATTCTAATTTTTGTTTAATATTAATGATAAGGCCATGCCTTTATTTTTACTGAATATTTACTTGAGATTTTATATAAAGTATAATTTTGTTTTAAAATATTATAGAAAGAATAGAAGCTTAAACTAATTTATCTATAACCTAAACTAACAGAAGTGGCCAAAGCTTATCTAAATTTGAGTATTAGTAATTATATATAGAGAATTGCTTTGATATTAATCTATTAAATATATCAAAAGTTTATTTTTTGAACTAATAAAATTGAATAGAAGAAGATATGATAAAAGTAAAACAGAGTTTAATAATATATTGTATTCAGGAGGTTAAGCTGTAGATCTTGAGATACAATATAAAATCCAACATTTATAATAGATTTGTCAATTAAGATAAAGTAAGAACTTGATAACAAGTGTTATAGCTACTTTTTAAATAAAAACTTGTAATAGTATTAATAAGTTCATTTAGCATTAAATCTGTTAGAGTTGAAAAAACTAAAGATAAATCTGATATATTATAAATATTTATACTACTTAATAGTTTGATTTGATTATATAAATTAGTTATAGTATTTAAAGTAGTATTAAGTGTTTTAGCATTTAAAATATATTGTAATAAAATGTCTATAAGAATATATTGTCACGATCCAAAATAGGATCGTCGATATTTCATTTAAGTTACATCG